GTCCTAGTACTGTTCAATTGTTTGAAGGATGTAAGGAGGATGAATGATATGTTTTCTTTCGATGTACATCAACCATGAACTGTTAGAATGTAGCAGGTTTGATATATATCATTTCTACCTGTTTAAATATTTTTAATGATGCTAAAGAGGTTAGGTTGGTAATGGGTAAAGTTATGCGAACCCATATTTTTATGATATGGGTTCCATGAAACAATATAAAACATTGGATATGGAATAATGAGAAGAGTTATGCGAATCAATTAGGCATGCAGGTGTTTCATACCTTGCAATATTGGTTTAAACAACAAATCCATTCAGGTTACAATGATCAACCAAATCATTCAATAGTGCAGCATCTACCGACTATAGAGTGGGTGAAATGTAATGTTAATGTTGGATTCAATAACCTAAAGGGAACAACAAACAAGGAATGGTGCTTTAGAGATTGTAATAGAAGGTTCATCAAAGCCGGATAGCGTGGGATTTTGGCCTTTATTCTACCATGGAAGCTGAATCATTAGCCTTGAAAGAAGCGGTGTAGGCAACCATCCAGATGCAAATGAATCATGTTATATTTGAGAGTGACTCACAAATGGTGGTGCAGCCAATTCATGCTAACTATGGTAGTAATTATGAATTTAGTTTGATTATCTTTTGTATTAAAAATTTATTAGATTCTCATTCCAACTTTGAGGTAAAGTTTGTTAAGCGCCAAGGAAACTCGTTTGCTCACGTATTAGCTAAAGCAGCCAATTCTTAGACTAGCGTAGTGTTTTTCATCTGCTTCCTCTTTGTATTGAATAACATTTGATTAATGATACAAGTTGAGTTTGTTTGTGTAAGAAAATTAAACTACATTATCTTATTTATTATATCTATAATTCAAACATATATTTTTTTCATTTAAAATTGTACCCCCTCTTTTTTATCCTCTTCTTCTTATTGTCTCAATTACAACGTTTTTTATACTAAACAAAATCAAAATCTATATAATCTAATACTATTTAAAAAATTCATTAATGTTCTGCGCATAACACATGTCTCAATCTAGTAACACATTAAAACATAAACATAGTTAACATTAGATTAAACTCATTTCATTACATTAATTTTTAACAACAAAATGATCAACATTACAATTAAGTTATAACTACATAATAATGACCAATATTATAATAAAACTACATTATTTCAACAAGGTTTTTGTGATAAACAAGATGATCAAAACCCACTAAAGAGTTATAAAAAAAATACTAAAAACATAATATTTTTCTTTAGTTCATCATCAACCTTTTTCACTACATCATCCTTCTTATTCAAATCATAACTCTCTCTAATAGTTAATTAATCACTTTCTTTGAACGATCTATCACTTGCTCATCACACAAGTCGAAAGGGCACATCATTTTCTTTCTCGTAACCAAACAATACAAAAAAGAAATCCACTAAGTATACCTAAAAATTAGGGATGGAGAAGATAAAAATACTATATAAAAATGGACATGTACCATGTACATTCATAGAACCTCTGCTGAGATTTTCGGATGTTCACATAGTCACCAATGGAGAATCTACCCCACAATAAAATTGCAACTTTCTCACCCTAAAATGAGAGAGATTACTCGATATTGACACTGATTCGAAACCCATTTGCATTGAAAAAGATTAAAACACAAATTTAAGCAAAAGGGGTTGAAAGAGGTAAAAGAATGAGGTTGAAGAAGATACTGCAAAAAAGAGACAAAATAATATTTTCTAAAACTTCCTAGATCAAAGAGGAAACAAGATGAATACTATAAATAACAAATGAAACATCAAGTTTATATTATTTTTAATTAGTTTTAGTTTTAGTTTAATATATTTAATATCCTAATAATAAAAAATGAAAGTTATAATAATTCATCTATTACAAGACATGACATCCATTAATTGTCGTGCATTAAGAAATGTTTACACCAACATTTTTTTAAAATAAAAAATAGAGAAGGGGAGCAATTTTGTGTGTGTGTGTCAAGAGGGCTAGAAGCCCAAAACAAGAAAACTAAACTACACTAGCCACAACGGGATTCCTACAGTCCTTTAACAGCAAGCCACATAATTGAATAGGACAATCAAAGATATAAAAGATGTCCTCGTTAATACTTAATGTAGATTTTGCTAAGTAATCGACACATTTATTTGCTTCCCTTTTGATCTTTGAGACTTTGAAATCCGCCATTTTTGCCAAAATTCTTTTGATTTTGCGGATAAGACTTAAGCCTTTCCTCTGTATATTTGTATCTTGAATTAAGTGCACCACTTCTTGATTATCAATTTGCAGTTCCATTTTGTCGTAAACTTTAGATTTGGCTAGCTGAAGGCATTCTATCATGTCAAAGCTCAACAGTTAACACCTTATTTTTTTTAGAAACCATAAAGCCACTCTCCATGGGTATTCCTCACCAGACCTCCATATCCAACTAGATTTTTTGAGACTGCACCATCAGTATTGAGACAAACCCAACTAATATCTGGTTCCTTCTAATAGTTATTTATAATATAGACTAGTCTTTGAGACAAATCAATATGAATGAGCATACTTTGCTTATAGCTCTTGACAATTGACTTAATATCTTGAATCAAATTGAATGGAGCTACAAAATCCGGCACAATCATTTTCTGGTTCCTCCAATACCACATTTGATGACAAGTAGTGGCCCATAGGGCTTACCGACTCTCATCCCTCTTACCTAAGTTGTACTACAAGTTAACTTCCATCCAATCAATGAAGTTGAGGTTGAAGAGACTCTGCCTGACCTTCGAGTTCAGCAATTGCATCCACATAAGTTTGGCATTTTTGCAATTTCTTAACACATGAAGAATGGTATTTTCTTGGCCTGTACACCCTCAGCAAAGGGATCTCTCAAGTTCAGATTACTTAGGTATTTGTTAGTCTTTAGGCTATTATGATGAATCTGCCATATGAAGCTTCGAATTCTTTTTGGAACTGACAGATTCCATATGGTCTTCCAATGATCAGTGTCCTCTGTGTCCACTACACTTGAAATAAAATAAAAAACATTGGTTATTAAAAAACTGCATGTAGTGGTCCCTCCCCATGCACAGACATCAGCTTCAGTGCTTCCTTCCAATGGTGGGTCAATAGCTCTGATTTTTTCCACCAAATAATGAGGGAGAATACTTCCTAATAGGCCCCAATTCCAGCTTCAATTAATAACAATAATTTTAGAAAAAATAACGCTCTCAATGTTATCTATAGAGTTAAGCAAATGGTCCTTGAGCCTCGTTCCAGTTTCCACCCAACAATCCGACCACACCTTGATTCTTACCCATTAGGGGAGCAAAATTTCTTAAAAACAAAATATGAGGATTGGTTTCATGAACATGTCATAATAAGGAGACCAAAAATAGAATTTAGTAAAAAAAGAAAGAAAAAGAAAAACTAATTTCTCTATTTCAAAATCAAAAATTTTGTCCTTATACATTTTATTTTTTAATTTGTATAAATATTTTAATATATAATTTATCTCATTTTACAACCTGACGCATTATTTAATAATGAACACATAGTCAATTTTAAATACTGTGAAATAATCAAAATTATTTGAATTAAAATTAAAAAATTAGCTTAATAAGTTAACTAAAAGAGAAGACAAAAAATATAGTTAAATCTAAATTTTAATATTTAGTAAAACTAATTAAAAAAAAAAACTAATGTATTCACACAAAAATATTTTGTTTAACGTTTTTATTGATAAGCATATTTTACCTTCTAAATAAAAAAAAAGAAAGATTTTAAAAACAAAATTGAGATAAAATATTAGAGATGACATTTAAAATAGAAAAAAGTATGAGAGAAAATAAATTTAAAAAAAAAAAAAAGGGTGATGTAATGTAAATCAATTTTACACTTTCAATCAAATCAAATTAAAATTTTTTAATTATTTGTATGACATGATAGAGTGATATATTTTCATTGAATGACCACAAAACTTTTTTATCATGTATTTCGTCAATTCAGATTAAAAATTTTAAATTATTTACATGATATAATAGAATAATATATTTTTATAGAATGACCATATAAAATTTTTTTTACGCTGCATCTTCGTTCAATCCTAAAAAAAAATAAATAAAAGTTAGACATACAAATTTCAATTTTTGTACAAATAGTTTTGATGGTTCTTACATTTTTAAATTTGTATTTTTTATCTTTCAAATTCTATAAATATTTTAATATAATAATTTATCACATTTTACAACCAACATATTATTTAAAAATAACCAAGTCATTAATTTTAAATAAAAAAAATAAAAGACCAAATATTTTTGAATTGAATTGAAAAATTAGTTTAATAAGTCAACTAAAACAGAAGACCAAATTAATAATAAAATTTAAATTTTAATATTTTATAAAATTAATTTAAAATAATAAAAAATAATTACTATATTTACATAAAAAATATGATATTTTGTCTAACATATTTATGGATAAGGATCTTTTACCTTCTAGACTAAAAAACCTTTTAAAAACTTGAGATGAAATATGTGAGATGAAATTTAAAATATAAAGAAAATGAGAGAAAATAAATTAAAAAAGAAAGAAAAAGTAAATAAAAATAAAAAATTAGACATCCCAATCCCAAATGTAAAAAAAAAAAAAAAATTCCAAATCCCATATTTAAACTTTATTTATTTATTCTATAGTTATTAATGTTTTTTTTTTCTTTTTTGGTCAAATACTTATGAATATTATTTCTTTTTTTATTGACAGCGAAGCAGGGTATTAATATGTAAAGAAAATGAATTAATTCAAAAAAGAAAAAGAAAGAGAAAACGGTAATTGCGATAAAACGGCGTTAGTATAAAAGCACAACACACACACACGAATCCTTTTGTAAGATCCGTAGTTGTTTTGTTTCTCTTCCCAACTCGCTTTCCTCTCTTCTTCTTCTTCCTCTTCTTGCCCCTTTTCTCAACCACCACCAAGACGCGTTAACATGGTTGTCAAGATGATGAAATGGAGACCATGGCCACCTCCAGTTTCCAAAAAGTACGAGGTTAAACTCCTCGTCAGAACTCTCCGTGGTATCGATCTGTCGCCGGAGAGTACATTCGCCGTTGAAATCAGATGGAAGGGTCCTAAACTTGCTCTCAGCTCCCTCCGTCGTAACGCCGTTGTCAGAAATTTCACCGGTGAGGCACAGGCTCATCGTGTTGAAGAAGATGAACAAAACGGTGTCGTTTTGTGGGATGAAGAGTTTCATAGTTCTGTTAATCTTTCTTCTAATAGAGACAATGCCTTTCATCCTTGGGAGATCGCTTTCACTGTTTTCAACGTATTTTCTCTCACCCTTTTGTTTTATTTGTTCATAAAACGTTATAATCTATGAAAAATTGAATCTTTTTTTTTTGTCTAAATTTTAGATTTTTTTTTTTCTGAATTGGATTTGAATTGCAGGGTTTGAATCAGAGGTCAAAAACTAAGGTTCCTGTGGTGGGAACAGGCTCTTTGAATCTAGCTGAGTTTGCATCTGTGATTGATCAGAAAGATTTTGATTTGAGTATTCCGCTTACACTTCCTGGAGGTTCTGCTGTTGAGCCTTCTCTTTCACTCACTGTATGTTCTCAACAACTTTCCATCTGCAATTTCGTTTTGACCTACTTTTCTTTATCTTTTTATGCCACCAATTTGCACAAGAATGGGTTTTCTTGTGACTTAAAATTGACACTTATTAAACAATCAATTTAGTCATGATTCATGAAGTATAATTCTCTTTCCAATTTAGTCCCTAAAATATATGAAAATTATAAGTAGTCCCTTAAGTGAATGAAATTATAGACTTGGTTAATGATAGAGTGAACCTCCGAGGGTTGACATGTTGGTGAAGACTATGGTTGACCTGTTGTTGAAGGCTTGAGTGTGCTCCTTTCAAGGTCTTAGGTTCGAATTGTGTTGGTGAAGACTTGGGTTCTGAGAGTATGCTCCTCTCAAGGTTTAGGTTCGAATCCTTGTGTTAGGTCAGTACACACGGAGCTTAGCTCCAGCTTTAAATGGGTTCTTGCCATTGGACAGTGGAATTGATCCCTTTGGATTATTCTGGCGGATATCAAGCTTTAAAAAAATTTAATGATAGAGTGATACTTTTATTGTTTGTTTTGTATATTTGTTATCAATTTATCATAAATGTTGTTGATTGTGTGCAGATATCAATCAGCTTAGTGGAGCTAAGAGTGGCCCAAGAGAATAGTGAGCTTGTTCATAAGTCAATAGTGCCGGTTCAATCACCCTTGTCTCAGTCAGGAGAAGCTAGTTTGTCAGAGAAAGATGAGATTTCCACCATTAAAGCTGGTCTTAGGAAAGTCAAGATTTTGACTGAGTTTGTATCCACGAGGAAATCAAGGAAACCAAGCCGCGAGGAAGAAGGTAGCGAGGGAAATTACTCTGCCAGGAGTGAGGATGGTGAGTACAATTACCCTTTCGACTCTGACTCTCTTGATGATTTTGAGGAAGGGGATTCACATTCGGAAGAGGTAAAGGAGGAGTCGAGTGTGAGGAAGTCGTTCAGTTACGGGAAACTAGCCTTTGCAAACGCGGGTGGGTCGTTTTATTCCAGCATGAGGGTGAAGGGTGATGATGAGGATTGGGTTTACTACAGCAATCACAAATCAGACATCGGGAGTTTGCCAAAAGAGGAGTCTGCCGTTTCGTCCTCCGAGCCTTATGTTGCGCAAAGTTCAAGGCGTAGTTTATTGCCTTGGAGGAAGAGAAAGTTGAGTTTCAGATCTCCGAAATCTAAAGGAGAACCATTGCTAAAGAAGGCTTATGGAGAAGAAGGTGGCGATGACATTGATTTCGATCGCCGGCAACTTAGCTCCGATGAATCTATTTCACATGGGGTAAGAACTTGTTCCTTTTTATTGTTTTTCAGGATTGAACTTGCACACTGTTGTTAATTTGCTTATCAGTACTTACGTTTGAAACTATGCCAGTCACAGAAAACTGAAGACGAATCAGGTGCAAATCGAACATCGGTGTCTGAATTTGGCGATGACAATTTTGCAGTTGGTAGTTGGGAGCAGAAAGAAGTTTTGAGTCGTGATGGCCACATGAAACTTCAGACACAAGTCTTCTTCGCGTCAATTGACCAGCGAAGCGAACGAGCAGCGGGTGAGAGTGCTTGTACAGCTCTGGTTGCAGTAATAGCCGATTGGTTCCAAAACAACCGCGATCTCATGCCAATTAAGTCCCAGTTCGATAGTTTAATTCGAGACGGCTCATTAGAATGGAGAAACTTATGTGAAAACCAAACATATAGGGAACGATTCCCTGACAAACATTTCGATCTCGAAACAGTTGTCCAAGCCAAAATCCGCCCCCTTTCCGTAATTCCCGAAAAGTCCTTCATCGGTTTCTTTCAACCCGAAGGAATGGACGAAGGAAGGTTCGATTTTCTACACGGAGCCATGTCTTTCGATAACATCTGGGACGAGATTAGTAACGCCGAACACGACTCCACCACTAACGAAGAGCCCCGAATTTTCATCATCAGCTGGAACGACCATTTCTTCATCCTTAAAGTCGAATCCGATGCTTACTTCATCATCGACACTCTTGGGGAGAGACTCTACGAAGGATGCAATCAAGCATATATCTTGAAATTTGACAGAAACACCGCCATATACAAAACACCAGACGTCTCTAATCTGTCGGACGAAAACACAACCGCCATCGAACAACAAACTGTTGCAGATGTATTAGAGAACAACAATGAGAAACAGAGTCATCAAATCAACAGTAAAGGGTTGTCGGAGTCTGTTGAAGAGACAGAAGAATCACCGAAAAGCGAGCAAGACGAAGACGAAGTTGTGTGCCGAGGGAAAGAAGCATGCAAAGAATACATAAAAAGTTTCTTAGCAGCTATCCCTATTAGAGAATTACAAGCAGATGTCAAGAAAGGTTTAATATCAACAACTCCACTTCATCATAGACTACAAATTGAGTTTCACTATACTCAACTGTTGTTGCAGTCTTATGAAGAATCTTCTTCTCTTGCAGTAACTGAGGTTGACACATAATCTTACTGTGAAATTAAGGAAAAAGCAGTTTTATTCTAACTAGTCTCTTACTATGTAAGTGCTTTTCTTTTTATTTAAACTTTTCTGATTTGAAGTGAAATTAACAAAAGGAGGATCATATGAACTTTTGATGGTAAATGAGAGAGTGAAGTGTTCTGTCTAGGGAAGTGTGTCATGTAAATTTATCAGTAATTTTGCTTTTTCATCTGAACTCTCAGAACTTTTGGTTCCTAACATAAAGGAAGAAGATGTATGAATTGGCTTTTTAACTTTTGCAGATTGTTGCATTTTCATTTTTTGCAGTCTGATTCCAAAATTTTACTTTTATTGTTATTATCTATACAACTATTACAGGTCAAGACAGATTTAAAGCTAAATAAATTCTTCTTTTTATAGATTTATTAAATAATCAATAAATTAATGGACACATCAGAAATTGAAAGATCATGATTCATACTTAGTCTTAATTATTAAAAGTGTGCTTGACTATATCAATTTAAAAAAAAAAAGAAGATATATTTAATTTTGTGCTTAGTTTTTTAAACAATAAAAAATATTTGAGAAAAAGGGATATACACCGACCGGATAAAATATATTTACACTATGAATCAATGATAAACATGCATTCCTTTATTTTTAAAATACTCTTATTATTTGATGCTTTAAAATAATCTAATTCCGATATATCACTTCATTTTTAAAATATTGTTATGATTTAATATTATAAAATAATTTAATTTAATATCTGTGTAATATTTCTTTACTTTTAAACTTAAAAATGTTTAACAAATACAACCTTATCTAAATAAAAATCACAAATAAAAATTGAAAATCTCAAAAATCAGAATTTTTGGATGTCTATGGTTCCCTTTTAGAAAAACAGATTGGATCATTGGATTGGATTTTAAATCAATTTTTTTATAGATTTAATTTAAATCATATTTATATATTTAATATTTATTTATTTTTATTTCGTATATATTTTAATTTTATTTACTTTTATTAGAATAATATATTTCATTAATTTATTATTTTTAATATTTAATTAATTTTGTTTATCTATTTTATCACTCTTATTTTATAAATTTATTTTTTAATATATTATATGATATATTATTAAAATTTATTATTGTAGTATTTTTATTATATTAATGTTAAAAAGATTATAGTTTGTAATTTAAATATCTAAAAATGTATTCAAATTAAATTGTATATAATTGACTTAGATAGGATTTTTTTAACTCATGGTTTAAAATCGAACCAAACTATAAATGAATTTATCTTTAAATCAATAAATTATGTCTTATAATTAATTCAAACTCCATCGCGAACATCTAATAATAATAATAATAATAATAATAATAATAATAATAATAATAATAATAATAATAATAATAATAATAATAATAATAATAATAACTTTGACTTTTTTAAATTTAATTTCAATTTTTTATATAAAGACATTGACCATGTATTTATAGTTAGTTATAAAAAGAAGCTTATGTTAAATTTAAAATTGCCTTAACAAGTGGGGCAATAGAAAAATTGAGGAAATACCCAAAAAGGAAAATGCCAACTTGTTTCCACAAGAAAGACTTCTCTACGAAGTGATAGGGAATTAATTGGATAGATGATAATCCAAGAAAAGAAAGGCAACATTTTAAATAATGAATAATATTGGAATTCTTCTTATTAACAATTTTCATGAGATTTTTACTTCTTCAAACCCTAATGAGATGATATCCAAAGTTGTAACATTAGTTGTTAAAAGTGGAAGTAATCATGTTCTTATTTCAAAGTTAGGACCCCATTTTTATGAAATCCTGTGTACATCGTTTGTCTGTTTTGGTGTCTAGTTTCAATATATGGAGTTCTAGGACTCATACCTCAACAAATCTTTTAAATTTATTAGATCAACGTACTTAAATAAATATACATAACTTTATCATTACAATTATATGGTTTAATTAGTGTTGAAGTCTTTAATTTAATTTCAGTTTTCAGTTTATTGGCTTATTTAGTAAATATTACATTTTAGTTCTGTAAAAATTTTCTATTGATTAAGTTGGTTCTTTCTATTAAATTTTATGAAAAAATATTAAATTATGCATATGTGACATGACAATATAACAAATGAGTTAACAATTTAGTAAGGAGACTAAATTGAAATCTTATATATAACTAAAGTACCAAATTGAAACTTTGTTATATTAACGGAATATTTAATATAACGACATTAAATCGGAATCTTGATACATTACTTATTCAAAACAAAGAATTAAACTAATATGAATTAAGGTGTATACAGACACAACTACAAGAACTTATTCTTCTTAGAACTTAAATTGTCAGTGCTGAAAACAATTTTTTCAAGTTTAACAATTTTGTAGCTGTTGTAGAGATCTAGTTCTTCACATGAAACAACTTTTCTTGTCTTATGGATTATCAGAGTATAATTTCTCTCTGAACATGGTATAAACTCTACACCATAGCTTATGTGCCATCAAATTACTCTTTTCTCTAAAGAGATTAAACAATGCTGCAAATTCTCAATAAAAAAGCAAGTTTCCAAAATAAAATGGAATAAGTAAACATTTGAAATTGAAGACCATATTAAAAAACCTGCAGGGGAAGAGCAGTATTTAACTAAAATTGTTGAAATTATAAATCGAATGGAATGAGAGCTATCATACCTTTAGCCTATGGACTACTTATGAAGAGAAGTATCCTGTAGTTATCTTATTTTCTCCAACAGAAGATTGGAAGTTGAAATCTATCTCTGGCATTGATGTGAAACCATACCACAGTTGATCAAAGGGAAGTGGTTTTATATGCAAACGTAGCGTCCCTTTTAGTGTAGTATCACTAATTAACTACTGCAGTTTCATTAATAAAATTTTAAGCTAATTTTTATTAAGCTAATTTAATTGATATTTGTGCAAATCACGCATGTCATTCACCTTTAAGAATTGAAAATTTAGTCATTAGACTGAAAGACAAAAAGAACAAGAGATAATCTTAAAGAATAATTTGCTTATTTTTAAATATCTTTTTTTCAAATATCAAATGATACTGTTAACTAATTTGAAATAATTTTAGACTTATGTCAATAGATCTAAACTTTTCGTCAAATTTGATTTGTACTGCTGCTCAGACCACATCCGCCACAACGGCTCCAACAACACCTCCGTCAAACGTCACACTAGAGAACTTGGGACTATCATGTTGGGAAAAGAAAACAAATATAGAAGATAGTAATAAAATGCAGAAGCTGCTGGATCAACTTTTTCCCTGCGTGCAGTTAAAAATAAGCCCCAAACAAAATTGCTCAGACAACAATAATAAGCACAAAATAGAGCAAATAAAATAAGGAGACACCTGAATTATTAACGTGGGAAAAAACCCTTAAAGGGAAAACAACCCACGAGACCAAGTCAGTAAATCTTCCACTAATAAAAATAATGAGTACACCACAAGTCCTCCTGGAACCACCAGGGATCAACAAAGCAAATATAATCTTCACCGTATAAGGTGGATATCAAATCAACTAACCCCTCAACGGGTTCTACGACACAACAATAAAAAGACACTCTTTGATATTCTTCTCTCTGTCTGTAGAGTCGCTCACGTTGCAGCTCTCTTCCCTCTTGCTCTTGTTATATCTAACACATAAGGGTTAAAACCCTTTTAACCATTTCATGGCTTTGGCCCACAAAGCTAATTCCTTTTTTTTTCTTCTTTTCTTTTAATAATAATAATAATAAGATTAAGTGAGCTCACTTATTTTGGTGACCCACACAACAATTCTCCCCCTCACCAAATTAAAGGGAGATCATAGGAGACCAAACCTGCTTTCTTTCTGCAAGTAGAGAACTTCTCCATAGGTAAGGCCTTTGTCATCATATCTGAACCATTCTCGTCAGTATGGATTTTCTCTAATGAAAATTTCTTCATCTCCAGCGCATCGCGTATCCAATGATACCGAACATCAATATGCTTCGACTTTGAGTGATAAGTCGAGTTCTTGCTGAGATGGATTGCACTCTGACTGTCATAATATAAAATATATTTCTCCTGTGAGAGACCCAATTCTTGTAGGAATTTCTGCATCCAAAAGAGTTCATTTGCAGCTTCTGTGGCGGCAATATACTCTGCCTCTGTAGTAGACAAAGCAACACATTTTTGCAATCTAGACTGCCATGACACTGCTCCCCCTGCAAAAGTCATCATATAACCAGAAGTAGACTTCCTAGAATCCACATCACCAGCCATGTCTGCATCTGCAAAACCATCTAACATAGGCTTACCACCTCCAAAGCACAAACAAACTCCAGAAGTACCTTTGAGATACCTGAGTATCCATTTCACAGCTTGCCAATGTTCTTTGCCAGGATTAGAGAGGAAACGACTGACCACGCCAACTGCATGAGCAATATCTGGACGTGTACACACCATCGCATACATCAAGCTACCAACTGCAGATGCATACGGAATATTCTCCATTTCTTCTTTGTCTTTCTCACTTGTAGGACATTGCATAGAGCTCAATTTGAAGTGACATGCAAGTGGAGTGCCAACTGATTTTGAATTTGACATATTAAACCTCTCCAATACATTCTCAATGTACTTTTGCTGTGATAACCATAATTTGCAATTCTTCCTGTCACGTGTAATTCTCATGCCAAGGATTTGCTTTGCAGGGCCTAAATCCTTCATTGCAAAGGACTTGCTCAACTCTCTTTTCAAATGCTCAATCTCTTTCATGTCATGACCAATAATCAACATGTCATCGACATAGAGCAAAAGGATAATAAATTTCTCACTAGGGAATTTCTTCACAAACACACAATGATCAGAAGAAGTTTTTGCATACCCATGATCCACCATGAAAGAATCAAATTTCTTGTACCATTGCCTTGGAGCTTGTTTAAGACCATACAAGCTCTTCTTCAATCTGCAGACAAGCTTCTCTTTACCTTTGACTGCAAAACCATCAGGCT